ACGGTGAATCGCTTTTTCAGTGTCACTTTTTTTTTTTACCGTGTCACTTTCTATTAAAAAGTGAGATTGAGTTTACAAAGTATTTTTTACTTTCAAAATATATTTCATTGATTTTTCAAAAGATCTTTAATTTTAAGAGTATTTTTGTAAGTTGTCCATTTATTAATTTCGTTCTATTTCACTGAAACAGGAGATTGCACTCTTAGTCTAATTAAAATTATTGAAGCTATATTCTACACAAACCAGTTTAAAATGTACTAGTTGATCGCCCACTACTTACTTCAAAATGAACATAAAGGAAGAAACCTAGTATAGTGGTCACAGACAAGAAGATTGACCAATTTCAATATAAACTTATGATTAATTTCAAAATTCATTAAAAATAAGATGTCTGATATTTGCATATACATTCAGCAAAGTCACAATGACCAAAAATAAATAAATAATAATAATAGTAAAAAAAGATGGCATTCCTGGTTAAGGTCCCAAAAGTAAACAATTCACCCAATTATTCAGTTATTGTAATGGATGATACTAATTAGCAACTCTTCATCTATTAGAAAAACTAAAATACTGCAACCTTACTATAATTTCTGTAAAAATTACAACATGAAGAATACCGAATACATATTATCAGTTGGGAAAATGTGATTTTTTTTTTCCAGTTTATTATTATTATTATTGTTATAGTAATCTGGGCAACAATTATTATTATTATGTTAAGATGGTGTTTAGCGGAAATTAAAATTAGATTTTTAGTAGATTATGATAGAAGTTTTTGAAATGTGTGGTTGAAAAGTTGTGGGACCCATGAAAGATGTGGTTAATATTGATTGTTTGACTTTGACTTGGATTAAAATCAAATTTTAACCCGGACCAAACAGGGCGTAAACAGGGGCGGAGGTGGGGGGTCCTGGGGGGGACCTAGACCCCCCCCCCCCCCCCCCCCCCCCCCTTTTTTTATNATCCAAGCCCAGATCCGGTACCACCACCAACAGCATGGATTCCATGGAATACCATTCAACGAGTGATGAATATTTCGATCACAAGTCACAAATTTAATTTTTATTGTCACAAGTCACAAATTTTATATGTCACAATGAATTTTAACGAGTGATGAATATTTCGATATAGTTTTACGATATTTCAACAACATTTTAAACTTTGGCTGAAATGGTAAAGAACGGAGGGAATTTCTTGAAGTGGAGATTGACTGGATGGACTGTAGTGAGTTGTGACATGGGGTGCACGGCATCGAAGCTGGACAATAGGACACGGTGCGGCGGTGCAAGGAGCGGCGCCGCCTGAAGAAGGAAGCGGTCTTTGCTCACCACCACTTGGCTGTAGCCCACTCTGATTACTGTCGCTCCCTCCGCGTCACGGGCTATGCTCTCATGACATTTGCTTCTGGTGAACCCCTTTCCGTTTCTGACCAGACCCCCGCAATGCTCCTCCGCAACCCCTCATCCGTCCCAACCACTGCCGCCACTATTGTCGCTACCAGTAAACCATCCTTTAACCCTCTTGCTGCTCATCACATCTCTTCCCCTTGCCCTTCTTCGCTCCATCCGCCTCCTCCAACTCCGTTATCCACCACCTCCACCCATCACCAGCAGCAGCCCCCACCGCGTCGCAAAAAAACCCGTCAAACTACCACACCTTCTCTCTGACTCAAGCTTATTATATATAGCGTCGGCGCGCAGTGCTATCGCAGTGTGCCGGCGGCGGCCTTCCTCCGGTGAAGCTGCGATTTTGGGCAGAGAGAGAGAAAATGAGAGACTAAGAGATAGAGAGAGCAGTGAGAGACGGAGAGAGAGGGACAAGAATTTAGGGTTGAAAATTAATTTAGGGGGCTGGGGTGTATATATATAAATATTTATAATATTATTATTAATATTTAATTAAATATAAAAAAACTGGTATCTATATATAAAATATCTGTTTTTTGAAAATTAAAATTTGATATCTGATTTTTGAATTTGAATTTTGAAAAATAGGGATTCATGTAATTTCCACTTTATGTAATTATCCCAAAAGAAAAATAGAAAATTTCGGCCCTTTAAATAGAAGTTGGGCCTGTCTGTAGGCATATATGGGCTAATAAACGTTTCACGGTGTCACATTTTCTTTCAATGCAAATCAGTCATTTTTGCATAATCTTGGGTAGTACTCTTATCTACGGTTCATCCTTTAATAATTCCATGTAATTGGGAAAATTGATTCTTTTATTTCAATGCAATTATTCTCTATATCAACAACTAATTATTATGTTTCATGATTCTCGACAATTTTGAAATTGCTATTACGTTAGTAGAATTAGTCGAAGTTACTTTAATTGAAAATCAAGTTAAAATGTAGTTACCCATTGAAATCACATTAAAAATGGACAAAAATTGAACTATAATTACCTAATTGACAATAGGACAAAAATATAGTCACTGTAAATGTACAATTAAAATATAATGAAATTAATAGTGTACATATTCATAATGTAGATTATTTACAGACTTTCTTCTCTCTCTTTTACGTAATTGTTTGTAAGTAGCACTACTCGTTTAGCCTCTGTTTGATAGAACTAAAAATCTAGATTTTTTTTAAAGTTAAAATCAACAATTAATTTTAATCACATATTTCATTGAATTTATTATTTTTCAATCTTATATTTTATCAACTTTTATTAGGGGCCCATTTGATTTTCATTTTTGTAGAATGAGAATGAAAAATATAGTTGTTATTGGGCCCCACACAAGAGATAGAAATTCAAAATTAATTGTTTGATATGATAGATAACTATCATATTTTTCATTTTTTTTTTTTTGGAAGAAAAAGAAGAAACAAACAGAGACTAAAAAATTTGTTCAAAATTTAATTTTAATCTCAACCAAATATCGATTTAATATTTTATCCAAACCAACGTACACACGGTACACGGTAGCTTATTCCACGCGCTTCACTTTCAAGCTACCGCCAAAAGCAAGCAAAACCTTCAAAATCAAATTTTAAGCTGAAATCCACACCGTTGATAATGAAACTAATGAACGGTTCATATGCTCGATCTGCATCGTTCCAAATAGACCAATCACGCTAGATCTCAACCTCCTATATAATTCTGCCCCCTTTCTTTCTCATCTCACAACCAAACCCCCCATTTTTCTGAACCCTTTTGAAATTCCAAAAGCATACGCGTTTTTTCTACTAAAAATGGCACCAAAGGCAGAGAAGAAGCCAGCAGAGAAAAAACCCGCTGCAGAGAAGGCTCCGGCAGAGAAGAAGCCGAATGCTGGGAAGAAACTTCCCAAGGAAGGCGCGGTTGCCGGAGACAAGAAGAAGAAGCGAGCGAAGAAGAGTGTTGAGACATACAAGATCTACATCTTCAAGGTGCTGAAGCAGGTTCATCCTGATATCGGTATTTCGAGCAAGGCTATGGGCATCATGAACAGCTTCATCAATGATATCTTTGAGAAATTGGCGCAGGAGGCCTCTAGGCTTGCCAGGTACAACAAGAAACCTACGATTACTTCTCGGGAAATCCAGACCGCTGTGAGATTGGTGCTTCCTGGGGAATTGGCTAAGCACGCTGTTTCTGAGGGTACCAAGGCCGTTACCAAGTTTACTAGCTCTTGAAAAATTTATAATTTATTAGGGTTTCTTATATTGTGATTTCAAATTTCTGTTCTTGAGCGATGTGTATGAATGATTAAAACTAGGTTTTTTTTTGGGTGTAGAATAGTTTGTTAGTTGTGGAATGGACTAAGTGTAACTGATGGTAAATTGACTCATGAATGATATTTCAGTTCTTTCCCACATCTGATACTGTTTCTCTGTAGTTGTCTGGATATATTCTTTTTAATGCTCTAGTGAACTACAATTGTGAGGTGAATCAAATTTTATCGTAACTCATGTTTACTGTATTGCTGACTGAATTAATGATGTTACCCCCAAACTAATTCATTCATCTTATTTAAATCCTGCCTTTAGTAAAGTTGTTACTCTTCATTTGCATAGCAAATTCGATTTGTGGGTGAAGTAGATCATAGTCTTGAGAAGGAAAACTTAAAATTCTTTTGCAGTTCATTCTGTTGGTTATAGCTCTGCCTCTTTGTTGGTTATCTGTCCAGCAACTCCCACTTGGTATTCTCTATTTGAATACTGTAAATTGTGCAAGTAATGCTTGCTTGTACTCCTAAATTTGTGATTTTGTATTATATTTTTGTGCAGAAAGAATGTGCTAACTCTTATCAAAAAAAGAAAGAATGTGCCAACTGCCAAGTGTTCATGTTGAATTTGTTCTGTAGAAATGGATAGGGTGAGTTATTATTAACCTTTGCGTGCTCTATTAACCTCTGTGATTAATTTTTGTTTTGTTCATCTAATGATATTGGAAGTAATGTAAATTTGCTCTTTTGTATAATTCTGCTATCAAATTTTGTGGTCTTTTGCTCTATTAACCTTTGCGTGCATTTCTATTCCTGATTGCTTTTTGATATTGGTGTAAGCTTGATTCTTTAAATTTTAGAATGTCAATTGATTGGTTAGACCTACTCAGCTGGGATAAATATGATACTCAGCAACAATAAGAAAATATGAGTTCCATTTTCCAAATAAACCAAAAGTTCACTCAATAATAGGTGTTCTGTATTTTGTTTAAAGGCTTATTTGTGTGGTTTGTGGATTTACTTTATTTGGTGGTCTTGATATTTACTATGAAAAAGAGGAAACTCTACAAAAAGCGTTACATTGTCAGCATTCAAGTCAGTTGATTATGGCATTGTGTTCTTTTCCTTTTCAATAGCAAATTGAATAGCGCAAAGGTAACTAACCCATGATGCTTGGATGGTGATACTATATAAGAGTCAGTTCAGTAGACAATACCTGCTTTAGTCTGTAGGATGAATCTTTAGTTATTTATGTCGAAAAGTCCTGAAAATTTGGAATTATTCTGATAGTAAATGATCAATGTGTCAAATTTATATTTAATGCTGGTATCCATTCTTTCCTTCAACATTTGGAGAGTTCTTGGTGTTATGGTCTAATTAATGTTTTTTGTGCATGGACATGCTAATATATGCTCTTGTATGCGGGTGGGTGAATGCTTATGCTTGGAGGGTACCCGTCTTCCTGACCCTAACGAAGTGTAATAAAAACCTGATTCTAGTGTCTGTAGTCAGGTTCTTCTACATGAAATCTTTTTTATTGAAGGCATAACAAACCTTGATGCTGTACACAATTGAAAGTGTTCAAATGAATTAGATCACCCATAACATCTGATTACCTAATATACAATTATACCCTATCCAACTCCTATAATAGGTATGATGAAGTCATGGTGCACTTCCACATAGGGGAAGATCCTTTTTGAAACATTGTTATCTGAACTCTGCAGTGGTTCTACAGTAGCCTTCCCTGTGATAAGAGTTTATTCTCTTAGTTCTTCGTGCATATCTGTCCTGTTTATCATAATAAAGTTGATTGGCTGTGGATGAGGTGGATGGAAATATTGAGTCTGCATTGTGAAAAATATTGTTGTAATTGCTGGTTTCAGAAAATGTGGTAATTTCATCTGTTCTCATTTGATTTTTAATTTCACTAAGAATTCTTTTAGAATTTATTCGACTCTGATTTGCTTTGCATGTGCATTTTCTACATAATGCAACATAACACTTCTTAAGGCATCACCAGTTTTTCAATTATCCTTAGTGGGGCAAGAAATGTATACATTGAATGCACTTGGATGGTTTCAGCGTGAAAAATAGTTGCCCTAGCAATGGGTTTCCTTACCATATTAAGTGATGGTGAGAAAACAGTTGATGACCATTCTGTGGCAAATATCATTATCTCAGTGAAATATTGACTGATGACAAACATAGGAAAATTCAGATCAAGCCCCTGTTTGGTACAAATTAAAATTTTCATTTTCATTATTCTACTCATTTTCAACCAATAAAATAATATTTTCCATCACATCAATAACTTTTCCTTTTTTTTCAATTCAACCACACATTCTCCTTCAATCTACTATTCCAAAATACATTCTTCCAAAATAATGTGGCTCAAACACACCCCCAAATATCGCTTTGCTCATTATAACTCATCATGTTTTTACTTGATGTGCAGATTAGTGTTGAGATTTATTTTGAATTTCAGGTTTGGTATTGCAGGCCGTTGAATCAATTAGAGGTTAGGCCCTAGAAAAGATGATAAGTCCATCATTTTCTGATCTACGCGGAAGATCTGTAAATTTAGCTACTTATTAATATGTATTTTTGATCTTTTTGTGTATCGAGATTTGTGTTAAGCAACTTTTAAGACTTGATTTTGCTTTAGGTTGGGAACTACATTCTTGATTTTGGAGTTCCAATCATATACAATTGGTATGAAGAAACGAAGGGCAAGGTGATGAGTTCCATTGGCACTCGCAAAGATCCTGTTTTGAGTAATGTGGTATGAGATTAATTGAAATAATCTGTTTATAAGGTTTGTATTGCCATTGCTATCATATGAAAACTGAATATGGATGTTTTTAATTTAATTTAGGCAATTTCATCTATGTAATATATTTCATTTACAATTAGGATTTTTTTTTTAAAATTAAAATATTTCTTTAGTAAATAAATTCGGAATTTAATTCCGATTAGGACTTTTTAATTTAAGTCATTATCTTGCTTTAAATATGAGTTGTAAGCCATCATGGCAGTTAGTTGTTTTTGAATTGAAATTAAAATATTAATTGTTGAAATTTTCTCCAATTTGTTGGTCCTAAATCGGTATTTTTTAGATTCAACGATTTTGTAGTCAAGATCAAGAGCCTGTCTGGGCGTGATACCTAGCGTTTATCCACCCGTTGCAAATTAAAAAATTGACCGTTGAAGCCAATTCTGAAAAAATATGTCTGACAGCCCTGATGAAAAAGTAAAGCCATTTACGCGTCATTCCCCATTTTACCCCTTTCATTACACCGTTCACCAACCATTACCTTTCCTCTCTCTCCCCCAATCCTTTCTCTTTCTTCGGTGGGGCACCTTGCCGACCGACAGGATTGCAACCAGGCAACCGTAAGAAAAATTGACGAGAAGACCATATTTCACCTCCTCCGTCCATATTTCTTTCCACAGACTGCAGGATCGGCTCCGACACCATGGATCCGAGACCACCCACGGTGAGTGGCGACGATGTCGGCGATTTCTCTTTCCAGCACTGTTCGTCCCAAAAACCCAACCCTCCTCGAAGCCTCACCCAAGCGTCGGCTCGAAAGATCGCCCATTGGAGCAACCGTGATAACCACA